CCATTCCCTACTAACCAAAGGTAAGATATAGGAATATTAACGCCCCTATATAGTACCCCTGTAGATCCCTTATAGTAACCCTTATAGACTCCTTTATAAGGCCCCTTTCATTCCCTAATAACCAAAGGTAACAAGGCCTAAACCCTAAAGCTGTCGCCTGCCTTGGAGGAGTCTTTCCTCCACGTCCTTCCCCTTGCATCCGAGTGGCAAGCTGGAGCCTCATATGGTACCCCAAAAATTACCCCCCCCCCCCTTCCGCCCGAAAGTTGTAGGTTGTTAATGGTGGTTATAAGGAGTTCAGAAGATTAAAGTTGTATAAGGAGTACGTATATAGGTTTCGAAGAAGGGTTTTATGAAGAGGTTATTTGTTGTAAGGGCGGCACCAAGAAGAACAGCGAGCAAGAATGAAAGGCATCGACGGCGGTTGCAAAAGCAGTAATGCAAGATTCATGTCATGTTGGTTACACTGGACATCAGCATCGCTAGCGTTCTGTTTCTAACGCCCATATCTTTTCTCGCTCAGTAGGCCGCTTTCTTCCCTAAACCCCTAAACCCTAAACCCTAATTCTTCAAGGGAAACAGCGAGGAAGAGGATGGCGATGGTGTTGGTGGTGGTGGTGATGACGCTGACTGCGATGAAAAGGAAGATGATGATAAGCATGCTGATGATCGGGAGGAGGCAGATGAGGAGGAGCAGCAGGAGGAGGGAAAGGGGGATGATGGTGATAATTGGGGGGTGATACTGATGTCGATGGTGATGGTGATTATGATAATGGTGATGATGACGATGATGATGGTCATCACGATGATGATGGTGATCGCGGTGATGACGATGACGACGATGGCGGTTATGAAGCTGGTGACGCTGATTGTGTAGCGATCATGGCGATGGCGGCGATGATTTTCATCATGCCGATGATGGTGATGTTCATCATCATGCAGCTGATGATCGTCGTACCTTTACTGGTCGTCATGCTCGTCGTGCATTGATGGTTTGAGGGCCGGCAGCTAGGTTCGGCCGTAAGCTGTAGGACAGGGATTCTCGCAGTGTCAACCGACAAGCAGACTCCGCAAGGAAGCAGAGTTCTGGATATGGACACCTACACGGAGCAAAGGCAGCACTACGACACTATGATGAAGTGTCTTTATCAACTCATCCTCAATGTCCTTCAAGGTATTTCTGCCACACACTTCGTCTATTCCGCAAGTAACAAGGATCCGAAAGGGAAACAAGTTTTCCCGAAAGCCAGACAACCTCGAGCCAGACTCCCCTGAACCCTACAGCCTCTACCATCGCTGAGGTTGACATTGCATTTAAACCACACCTTTCCACATCCGGCTTTGCGGCTCCCTTGTCTGCAGTGGCGGTGGCGCATCTGGGTTTTTTGGAGCGTGTAGAGGGCTTCGGTCGGTTGTTTTTGAGGGTGGAGGCAGTTGCGGGTCTTGCGGTGTCTTGGGGCCCCAAAACAAAAAACACTTTCTGTGAAATCCTCTGAAGTCATCCCTGCCATTTAACACCTGTTCTGAATTATATAGGGGGATGTAACAGCAAGAGAAGGAGCACAGCCAGAAGCAAGAGCTGCAGCAGGAGCTGGAGCAGGAGCCAGAGCAAGAGCAAGAGCAAGATCCTTCCTCCCCAATGTGTCAGTAGAGATAAACTGGGGAGACGAGTAGTGGTTTAGGTCATGAGGGTTGAGGCGTACAGTTGTAGTGAGAGACATTCCCAGACTCTAATCTTTCTAATTCTTCAGCTACGAGCATTTGAAAACCTTTGTGGGTAGATGCCCTAAACCCTATAAACCCTAAACCATAGACCCTCGGTGGAAAAAGGTGCTCAAAAAAAAAAAGACCCTAAACCCTAAACCGGATCCCCCTAAACCCCAATACTTTCAGCCTCTGAGTCCCAAACCCCACTAATAAATAGCCATGAACCCTTGTAAGCCCTAAATCCCAAACCTAAAGGCCCATTGCACTAAACAAGAATCCCTAAACCTTTTACATTCTTGTTGGCTGTAAACTGAACTCTTCAACTTTTGGGGTTCTTAAAAGGTAGTCGATTCTGAAAGTTTCAAGTTTTATTTTGGTGGGGTTTTGGACCAGTGAGCATTTGCCTGTAGGGTGAGGGCGCCAGAAATGCCTTGAGCCGAGGCACTCAGATAGCTGGAGACAAGCCTTCTACGTCCACCATCCGGATTCCCAGGCGCCCTTACAGGGGTCCTAGGAAAGGAATCCATAAGGGGTCCTTTAAAGGGATCTGAAGGGTTCAGGGTTTAGTGGGTTGATGGTATACACCCTGCATTACCTTAAGAGCCCCAAGCCATGGGACTTATGGTATATACTCCTTACTATGGGTCATGAAGGATGTATATCATAAACCGTAGGTCCTGGGTCTACGCCTTAGGCCGGATGTGGGATATAGGGTATGGGGATAATTACTTGTAGAACCCATGCTAATTTTGCAGTTCGTAGAACATACCAGTCTATCCTTATGCACGACGGGGCGAATCATCCAAGGAAAGAGCATATGGGTAGTAGTCAAAATCATGGTCCATGTTTAGGTCCTTGATATAAAACGGCACCTATTATTTAGGCCCCCTTTTTGGGTACCCTATAAAGATACGGCACCTATTATTTAGGGTACCCAAAAAGGGACCATAATTTTGACAACTACCTATGTAGGTATTTCGGACCCTTGGTCTCGGCGCCCTCAGGACGGTTTAGGGTTTCAGGTTTAGGGTTTAGGTGGAGTTCATTGGAATGTTGGTGTTTTCTTGTTTGGCTTCTTAGGCTTGTTTTCGGAGTTTGGTGTTTTCGGGTTTGGGTTCAGCAATTTTGGGTTGACGGCTTTGGGGGGAGTTAATGAGGAGTTTCACCGTCAAGCAGAGCTGAGTCTTGCAACTCATTCCGCCGAATTGGGCGTCACAGGGTGACAAAGGGATTAATGCTTTCGGGTTCCGGTTTGACGCGTTGGCAACCAGCATATCGTCACTTGACGGTTTGTGCACTAGCACCCTACAGAAGCACCTATTATTGCCGGGTTGGCGTTGAGGTTTCTGGGAATTTGGCGCTATAGGTCAGGGTTTGTAGGGCTCAAGCCACGGGGCCTACTTTGCTTTCCCAGGATGATATGTAAACCCTAAATTTGCAGGCCCTGCAACCTGACACCTTAAAAGCCCGCAGCCGTGAACCCAAAAGCTCTGCCAGGAGGATGACGATGAGACGCATGAGGTGTCTGAGCTGATGGTCTTTGCTGCCACTTTCGCTTTGCTTCACATAGCGTTCCGAAGCTGCACCGGAAGATTAGGCTTGATAGAGGCCTGTCTTTTTCGTAGGATTTGAGTTAAGGGTCTTGTGATGACGGTTCCATACTGGTTTTGGGTTTCGATTTTTTTTTTAGGGGCTTCCGGCGTTTAGGTTAGTTTTGTGGCTTCAGATTGTTAATATTACCGCTGCGGCTGGAAATTCAAGGTTTCAGGTGGAGTGCCTCTGGGGTTTTTGGGGCAATGGAGCTGAAAACTCTGACTCCGACTTGTTTGTTGTGGCCTTCTTCTGGCACCAATTTGCTAAACCCTAAACCCCTAAACCCTAAACCCCTAAACCTTAAACCCCCAAACCAAAGCTTCTCTAATCCATTGCGGCCAAGGATGTGCTGCGTGGCCTGCGGGTGCCGCCTGGCAGTTTGCAGTGTGGTTCGAGCCGCCTACACTTGGGAGTTTCCGAAAACTAGGGGTACCTTCAAAGGGATCCTTTAAGGGTCCTTTAAAGGGTTCTATAAAGGGTTTAGGGTTTAGAGTTTCCGAAAATTGGGGGTACCTTATTTTGGGGTCCGAAAAAAAGGATCCTACCATTCCGGGTACTATGTTTGGGTTCCCTATTTTCGGAAACTCCCGCTTGAGCGGAATCTGCAGGGAAGCTAGTTACCCTGGGGATCAAAACAGCCCAAAGGCCTTACATAATATGGTCTGTGGGCCCAAAAGCCTTAATATATGAGTCCTTAGATCCCTAGGGTTAGTATACCCGTTTACCCAGATATTTTTGAAGGCCCCCCCACCGTGTATAGTGGTATAACAGGAATATAGTAGGACCCGAATATGACCCTCATAGTCACTACTACAGGGTGGGTGGGGTCTTCTAGCAGATACTGTACAAGTGCCAACCCCCTGGGGCATCCCAAAGCATGGATCCCAAGTTCACAGGTACTGGTGCTTGCAGATGTACCGCGATGCCGACACGCCAGCCTTGCAGATTACTCTGTTCCACATGTTTTACCAAGCTGGTCCCTGTGTCGGCACCCATTCGCTTTCAGATTGGTATAAGGCATCAGGACACGCCGAAAGATGGACTTCAGAGTTCTCGTTCGAACATATGCTTGCTGCTTGCGGTGCTCTCGGTCTTGATGTTGCCCTGAGCTGTCTGCCTTGACCCGAGCACCCAAAGCCCTGAACCCTAAGCCCTGTGAGCCATGCTGAACCCTTCGCTCTCGAAGCCATCAGCCCGCCATGCCCAGAATCCTGAATCGCACTCCCTCCGCCTGGCTCCACGGCTTGCCTGCGCATCAGACAAAGCATCGCATCAGGGCTCGAAAGCCCTACCCAAAAGAAAGCCTAATCTAAACCCTGAACTCCCAAACCATAACCTTAAAGCCTAAACCCAAGCTCCTAAACCTTAACCTTTTGTCCTAGACCCTCGATCCTGAAGTCCTAGACCTTTTAAACCGTAAATCCCAGACCCCAAGTCCTAAACTCCTAAACCCTGAGCCTGAAACTTTAAACCCTACTGCAAAGTTCTAAAGTTGTCGAACAGAAAGATGCCCTAGCACTCACCAGCACTAGTCTTACCTTTGGTTAGTAGGGAAAGGAGGAATGGGGTACAATTATATCTACTATTACTACCATTCTTCCATTCCCTACTCACCAAAGGTAAGTAGTTCAGACCTGAAGCCAAGAAGCCGTGAAGCCTAAAACCAAAAGGGGCCCGGGCCACGGAAGCTGTCAGAGCTCATGCGGCGTGGATTGAGCGCCCTGCTGCGAGACCGGGGAGGCGGCTCTGGGTGTGCAGGCAGAGTTTGATGTACCCAGACCTTCCAAAATCCCTTAATTAAGGAATATACCTTAAATTATAATAGGATCCCAAATATGAATCAAGGTATATTCCTTAATTAAGGGATTTTGGAAGGTCTGGGTATAGTCAACCCTTGAAAGTTGGAACATGGATTTGGGATGATTAGTGCTGGGATCCCCTATACTTTACCATTAAGGCCATGAGGAGATTGGTGTTCCAACTGTCCGGCTTCAACTGTAGGGCTCGAGCGGTTTAGGATTTACGGTGTGCTAGCATCTTATCCCCTCGAGTCCCTGACAATGTTTACGTTTGACAACCGCCAAACCTAGTAGAATTGCTGAGGCCTCCAGAGCAATCTTTTGGGCCCTACAAATCCCTTTATCAGATTATTCAGCTTGCTTTATCATTTTTGTTATTGTTATTATAGGCAGTTTTTCGCGTATCTCGGGTCTTCAGACCCAGACGCACCCAACCCGAAACCCTGGGAAACACACAACAAAAAGCGAGGCGCCCAGTCTCACTTAAACCAATAATTGCGCACAGAGTCCGAATCTTTCATCGTTCAGCCTCGATATGATAACCCTGCCTTCACAAGGACACAACCAATACGCATGTCTACGCACTTAGACACATGAATGGATGGATATACCTTCGCATACATATCTTTATATACACAGCATATACGTATAAACATGTGTTTTTAGTTTGCACATAATATGACATATTTGCTTTCCCATAAAGCACTGCTGTACAGAATTCACACCGTGACTCTGACCCGGCCTAAAACTGTAAAGCTTCAGGCAGGATGCTGCCGAGCTGCAGGCCTCGGCTTGCAAAGAGAGTCCAATGTCCCTCAATGGAGAAACATGCCTAAAGTTATGGTAGGATCCCTCATATGATTGAAGGAATAGTCCTTAATTAAAGGGTATTGGAGTCTTTGGGTGCATAGGGCCATGCAGTGATTCAGGAACTTGCAAAGGTTCGGAGTGCAAAAGGCTGCGGGCCAATCCGCGGGGTCCATGAAGTGTCTCCGTTCATGCCTACCTAGACTGGGCTTTGGAGTACCAAAGTTTAATAGCTTTGTTTCTAAAAGGAGCCATTATGGACCTTATGGCCGCCAGAACCCTAGACGATTAGAGTTGAAGTGTAATCTGTATTTTGGATCATGCAGCAAGCGCGATGCCAAAGTTCAGTGCACAATACATGTGCTGCCTCTACAGCTAGACAAGTTGTGCAATCCCTCGATAACTCTAGCAGATCATTCGCGAAACCCTGTTCATCTACTTTCAGCGATGATATGTATGTGTCAAGTGCTGCCTTAGTTGCCAAAGGCATGGAACCCTACAAACCCAGAAGCACTTGTCTTGCAGTCGCCGACGGAATCTTATTTGAGAGGCAACTTTTATCTGGCACGCTGAATCCTAAGCCCTAAAACAGGCTCTTTTGCCTCTTGCTTCTCGTGCAGCATCACGTAGCGGACGCAGCTGGAAGCCCAGAAGGTGTCAATGCAACTTACACATGACTTCTGAGTCACACTGCACCGTTGGGCCAGAAGCTTGAGGGACCCGTTTTCCCCCCAGTACACTGGTGGACTGCTCGGCCTGGCTCACTCACTCACTCACTCACTCACTCTCTCTCTCTCTCTCTCTCTCTCTCTCTCTCTCTCTCTCTCTCTCTCTCTCTCTCTCTCTCTCTTTTTCACTCTCTCTCTCTCTCTCTCTCTCTCTTTTTCAAGGTGAGCTGATTCAGAAAGGGAGGGTCAAGGTGAGCTGATTCAGAAAGGGAAGGTGTTGTAGAGATTGGCAAGTAAGGGTGATAAGTACCTGAAGTGAGGCTGTAAGTACTTGTCCGTATAGTTCCCCGAAGAGTTTGGGCGCAACGGCTGAAATGTCTGAGCAAAGTCCTTGCCCGGCACTTGACTCAGGGTGCCAAGGTTGTATGGGTAGTATGAGGGCCTGAATAATTAAGTGTACTGTACGTTGGATAAGGGAACGCCAAGAATAGTATTGGTGATGATTTACGCACCTAGGTTAACAAATACTTGGAGGATGAGGAAGACTTCGCAACCAGGGCGACAAGGGTATTTACTTCGTAGCTAGGGTTATACAGAAGCTTATAGCCGCGCTTACCGATCCTCCATATGCACCCTCGAGTCTTGAGGCTTTGACGATGTATCTCGGTGATGCCGCGCAAACCCAACTTGTCGAAGGACTAAGCCATGATTGCTTGCTGCCCTTTCTGTAATCCTGATCCTCCATTTTTGGAGTGCCTTCAGGGACAGACCATGCAGCAAGGACTCGCAAGCATACCAAGGCTTAAGAGCAACGCTTGCATGTGTGTACACTGGAAAATGCCGCCAGAAACACACTCACAGAAGCACGCGGAAGCTCACTCAACCCCGCTCATCCCGGTCCGAATCCGCGAACCCTCAACCCCAAGGCCCAAACACTATAAAATACAAAACGCTTCAATGCCAAAACCCCTAAGCCGTAAACTCCCTAAGCCTTTTAAACTCCCGAAACCATAGACCCCTAAACCTCAAAACCCGAAGCCCTAAACCTCAAAACCAAAAGCCCTAAACCTCAAAACCAAAAGCCCTAAACCTCGAAACCCAAAGCCCTGAACCCCAAAAGCCCGATTCCCATCCTACTGTTGACCATATAAATCCTGCATTACCTTAAGGACCCTAAACTATGGGAATTACGGTATACCTGGACCCTAAGGAACCCACCTTTTTAGGGCCCCCCTAATATGATTTCTTTATATAAATCCCTAAAAAGGTAGGTCACGTGCTGTTAAGGTATTCATTATACCCTAAACCCTAAACCCTAAACCATTATAATGGGTAATGCAGGGTTTATATCACCAGCCGTAGCGAGCGAGGCCTTGAGCTGCGACGCAGAGGACGCCGAAGCAAAGGCGGCAGGGGATGCATTTCCTCTCTGCCCATGCCTGAGACTCTTATTGGCGGTTCCTGGGTAGTCAGAGGTAGGGTTACAAGTGTCCTAATGTACAGTCACCCTACTTTTTCGCCGTAAGTGGGGCTGATAAGTAGGGTAACTATACTTATAAACCGTATTGTGGGGGCTTAGAACCCTACTTATTATGCTTATAAATACCTATAAATCTCTAAGGATCTGCCGTCGGTCCCAGGGCGCAGTCTTCAGGGGTGTGGGGTTTAGGGTTTAGTCATTCTAGGGATCAGATACCAGGGTCTCCACAAAGAGACTGCCATGAAGAAGAGCAGTGTGGTAGAATTTTCGCGGTGGCGATGGCTACCGATGGATGTAGCTATAGTACTGCTGCAGTCACTTGGGGCCCGAGTTGCTGTAGTAAAGCGCGTGCAGGTGCTTAGCGGTAGGTTTCGGGATGCTTGCAGGTTCGTTTCGCGGGTCTAGCCTATTTGTTGCTTCTGGTATTGCAGCCGGCATGCTCTTCAGCGTTACCGCCCTTCTGGAACCCCAAGCCCACACATATGACACGGCATCATGCGAAAACGGATCTCATTCAAGTCCGGTGCGCCACCTGGTTCAACTTACAAAGCCCCGGATCAATCGCAAAGTGTATGCAAGACGAAACTACACCCGATTCGGGGTTGAATTCCTAGCCTTAAAGCCTAAGCCTAAGCCCTAAAGCCTCCTACTGGACAAGAAGCCATTGAAGCCTGTAGGTTTCGGGTTCCAAGAAGTGCAAACCAGACGCAGGTTCCCAGGAGGCTTCCTATTCAGGGTTTGGGTTTAGTGTTAGGCTTGCCCTCTTTGTCACGCTTCGAAGCTTCTTTAGCTTTTTCAGAGAGCTCATAGTAGTGGATGTCGACGTCAAGGGGCTTGATTCTGCGACAGAAACCTCTTCCTGTAGCCCCAAACCCTACAAGACAGAAGGCTATGACCCTATGGTTTTCAGGGTTTTTCCTCCCCATAGCAGTAGGTATTCGGATCCCCAGGCAGGCTTAGAGTGTAGGAAGCCTAGGTCGCCAACCTCGCAGCCTGTTGTTGATCACGGAATGACGGAACAGGGAATCGGGTTTGGGGCGTGAGACTGCGTGATCGTGGACCTTGATAGGGTAGGATCGTCACATCACAGCGGCCTCAGACTCCAAGATCCAAACGGGCCAAAAGCCGAGCTCTCCGACCCCTAAACCCCCAAACCCCTAAACCCTAAACCCTATACCCTTATAGAATCCCTATAGATCCCTTTAAAGGGTCCCTCCTTTTCCCCTTTGAACCTAAGGGGCCCCATGCTCAGGTGTCTTTCTATCCTCGGACCCAGTGCGACGGATGGTCTTTCAGATTAAGGCGGTTTAGGGTATAGGGTTTAGGGTTTAGGGTTTAGGGCACCAGGGCTCTACCACAAGCCTACAGGGCCGAAAGCCTAAAGCCTTAAACCCTATGAAAATAGGGCTACCTGATATTGGGTCCTTAAAAAAGGATCCTACTGTCTAGAGTATTATATTAGGGTCCCCTATTTTCGGAAACTCTAAACCCTAAACCCTTATAGATCCTTCACAGGAACCCTTATGGTACCCTTTCAAGGAACCCTAAGGGTCATCTATTGAAATCCCCATATTCGGCATGGTGTGGCCCGGTCTCCCAGAGGCGAAGCCCACAAACTCGTCTTTGCAAGCTTTCTGTACTCAACCGCTACCACAACCCAGCCCCCCCGCCCCAATTGCCCTTTGATGGAACCCTCATGGTCCTTAAAAATGGTATTTATGGTATAACGGAGGGTAGCCAGGGATCTAGGAAAGGTCCCCTAAAGCCTAAAGGCATCTCAAAGGTTCTACATGCGTTTGGGATTTGTGGAAGTTCAGGGTTCGCATCAGAAAGGTCCTACCTGGGTTTCGGATTGGGTACGGCCTCCACTCAGTAATAGTTAAATAAGATGATCAGAATATAGATATACTAGGACCTTAATAGTAGCCCGATTATAGACTCTTACTGTATGGGGGCAGTACCTAGGTTTCGGATTTTGTAAAAGGTCTGGGGTTTCGGGGTTGCGGTTAACACCTCGGATGCCCGTAAAGGCAGAGATGAGACCTAAATGTGGCATGAAGGGTTTAGGGTATCTTGATAGACATAGGGCTTGAGGACAACCATCTGAATCTTTTCACCCGCGGACAGGAAAAGGATCGTCACAAAAAAAACTTAACAACAAAGCCCGAAATTCTGTAGCCTGTAGCACAATTCTGGACTCTGAGCCCTGAGCCATTGGTTTATCTAGCCTTGACTTTTTGTTTGTCCCTGAGAGCCCTTATGAGCCTTGACACAACCCTGAAAGGACTCAATCCTGAGAGAGCTTTTAGCCCTTATAGAACCTTTCTAGAGTCCTTATTAAGACGTCTCAATATTCAGCTTCGGCCCTTGGCTTTTGGGATCACTTGCGAGGTGGAGGAGTCGGCAGAGCTGGTGCTGAAGGCATGGCGCTCAAGATTTCATACGGGTTTAGGGTTTAGGGTTTAGGGGTTAGGGTTTAGGGTTTAGGGGTTTAGGGTTTAGGGTTTAGGGTTGGGAGTTTAGGGCTTAGGGTTTGGGGTCTTGGGTCTGGGGTCTATAGGCTCTAGGGTTGGAATACGGCTCTTTTAGTGGATTTCTCTTCAAGGGGTTTATAAGGATTACAATAAGGGTTCGACGGCAAAAGAGGCTTCAATACTTAGAATACGGTGTAGATTTTTTGACAGCATCACCCAGGCGATCCGGACGTAAGAAAGAGAGAGAGCGAGAGAGAGGGAGAGACAGAGAGAGAGAGAGAGTGTGTGTGTGTGTCTCTGTCTGTGTTTGCATGTTTGCTATCACTCCTGCATGTTTTGGGTGTTCCTTTGAGAATCGTTGGGCGCGTTTGCCACCCAAGCGTACCTCTGCCACAGGACTCGGACAGCATCGCCTTACAAAACAGCAGCATCTATGCGCCGGGGGCTTGGGATTAAGCTGTGAAGGTTTTTTCTGCGTTCAGGGTGGATGGGGGCGTCCCGTGCCGTCTTGTGCCATGCACCGTCATACAGAAGTATATATATACATATATATATATATATATGTATATATATATATATATATATATTGCGGACTCACGGTGCCGGTCCCAATCTTGCGAATCAAACTCTCGCGCCAGACATCCGCGGAAACTTCAGGAGTTTACTATTCCTAGACCCTTTCAAGATCGGTTTTAGGGATCCGCTCATCTTCAATATCCAGGCCCTAGGATTACTTGGCATTAGGGTCTTCAGGCCAAGGAAGTTTGGGTAAAACTGTGCAAGCGACTGGACCCGCATCGAAAGTTTTCGTGTGGGTGAACGTTGGCGGAGGAGTCTTCCGGCTTCCCAGCACAGTGTTGCAGAATGTATCGGAGCAACCCATCATCACAATCGAGTAAACGCTTGCAACTGGAACTGAGCAGCCGGCTTCATCGAAATCTGTCTCCACCATGTATCAAATAAGTTGCCTTCTGCATACCAGAGGCCGCCTAGCATCCTTGCACTGATGGTACAAGAATAGTTACGAGGAAGCCGGCTTCTCGTGATGATTCCTCCTGCACACCGATCCCGTACGATTCCAGACCACCTTCGACGCACTATTGGCGGCAGCACAGGCCTGTTCCAGAAAGCCCATAAGCGGCTAGGGGCCGACTGCCCCGATTCCTGATCAAACTCAAGTGAGGTCAAGACGTTCAAGGTTTCTGTGTTCTGTTTTTGGACCCTCGCTTGCACCAGAACGACAATGCGAAGTAACACGACGCAATGCTTATCCCTGAAACCCCAAATCCCCAAATGCCCTTGAGCCCGAAACCCACATGGTTCCTTCGTAAGCCCTAAACTTTGGGCGTAATTACTAAACCCGCCAGGGATGCTCCCACTCGGATATTTACAAACCGTATGAAGGGACTTGCAACTCTACTCCATAAGCCCTCATTCCCTATGTCTATAACTACCAATGAACCTCCTCCAAGAACCCTAAACCCCTAAACCCCTAAACCCCTAAACCCTAAAACCCTCAACCCTAAACCCCTAAACCCCTAAACCCTAAACCCTAAACCCTAAACCCTAAACCCTAAGCCCTAAACCCTAAACCCTAACTCTTATCCCGTAAACCCTCCTCCAAGCACCGAGGTGGGTCTCCAGATCCCAATCTGGCCCCGCTGATCCGACAGATTGCAGCAACGATACAGAGACCGCCTCCAGAGGCGACTCCTAGGGTTTAGGGTTTAGGGGTTTAGGGTTTAGGGGTTTCGGGGTTTAGGGTTTAGGGCTTAGGGGTTTAGGGGTTTAGGGGTTTAGGGTTTAACGATACAGAGACCGCCTCCAGAGGCCACTCTTGGGGTTACTGTTGGGGGGTTGTGTACTGTAAGGGTTGCTATATAAGGGCTACTATACCGGCTGCTATACTAGAAAGGTTATGTAAGAGTTACTGTTAGGGTCCAGAGGGTTTAGGGTTAGGGCTCTAACGGTTATTGTGAAGGTTATGATTTAGGGCTTAGGGATGTTCAGGGTTTAGAGTTAAGGTTGTGTGCTGTAGGAGTTGCTAGATGGGCGACGGTAATGGTGGCTTTAAAGGTGACTGGAATAAAGGTTACTATAGGGTTGCTGTGAAGCTTGCAATAGGGGTTACCACTAAGGTTACTATAAGGGCTACTATAACATGTATAAGGCTAGGATTAGACTTTAAGTGCTTACTTCAAAATATTTCCCAAGACCATTTCTTGAACAGCATCGGGGTCTTAATCAACATAGCACAGGCTTACGGGGTATAAGGGGTTTAGGGCTTCAGGGGCAGACGGGACTTCCAGGGTTTAAGGCGTAAGGGGTTTGGGGGTTTTTAGGGCTTAGAGCAAACGATGTTCAGATTGGGGTAGAGATTTGGCATCAAAGTCGATTCCTTCGTGTGGACTTCAAGATCTCGAACCCTAAACTCCGGGCACTTCATGATCCCATTCACCCAGACTTGCAGTACATGCGAAGCTTACAAGTTCCAAGATTTATCAGCACAGGGCGCTGCTCTATGCTTTGAAGTGTTTGATCATGCAGACGGGTATAATATAGAGATGCCTCAGGATAGTGAGGGTGTCAGGGGGTAGGCTTCAGTGTATATGTTTTCACGCTCACTTTACAGGCATTTGGTTTGGAGGTTGTGTCACTTCTACATGGCTGTTCACTGTGCGAGGTGTCGAGGTGTCGGGCTTCAGACGTGTTTGTTCCGAAAGCTATACAGTTCGAACACGAACCATTGTAGTCACCGCCATAGTGACAGTCGCAACACTGAACTTTGAACCGCGCGAACTGACTGAGGGGTGCAGGCTGGCAGATGCATAAGAGCACAAAACTGAAGCGCAGAAACGAGACAAATGCTGCTCCCGGCCCTAGGTCTGTAATCATGAATGCCTGAGATGCCCTAATTAAACTCTCTCCTGACCCTGGAACCCTAAACATTAGACAATCCTAAACTGGAAGCCCGTACGAGGCGGCAACGTAAGCTGCCCACAGATCTACGCGAATGCAGACAACATCGCGCAGCAGAACTCCCAGCTTGTTCTGAGTCCGGTCTTGTGCAATCCGGCGTACCATGGTGTTCGGTTGTCCTGAAGTCGTATAACATGGATCGTGATTCACAGTTCCATTTCCAGGGATTCGTGTTATAAGCACAGTACACAATTACGCCCACATCCTATTCTTGCTAACAAAGCCCCAGTGAGAGCTCGTATGTGACTATCCTCGAAGCTCACTGATGGAAATAGGTGAACCGTACCGAAGAACCGACACTCATACTAGAGTTCTTCACAAGGAACCCGAAAGATACTTTAATCAACTACTTAGGCTTCTACAATGTCTGCCATGGGACAGCCTTCTAAGTTGTAAGGATCCCGAACCCCTTATATAGTACCCCTATAGATCCCTTAAAGGGGCCCTTATATAGCATCCCAGTATCTCTATAGATCCCTTAAAGGGCCTATCAACCCGAGACTTCCTGTAACTCAACTTAGACGTACTTTTGGTAAAACTCGGGCTACCCATAGGCTCCAAAGTAGTTCCTTTTTGGGATTACGTTATAGGTTTCTATATACGAACCCCAAAAAGGAACTACTTTGGGGCCTCAGGGTAGTTTCATCCAATACAAAAGCATCTTCACAAAGGTTTGCCTGCTTGTGATTCGCCTGGGAAACGGGAACCCGAACCCCAAGCCTAAACCCTGAACACTGGACCCTTCACAGTCTGGCAACCTGGCTCGTCCTAGGCTGACCAACCTCGTAATCAACCTACGGGATGGACGCGTGGCTTGGCTTGGTACGTTTGAGGCCCCCTCCTAGTTTAGGTTTTGTAGGGGTTTACGGTTTAATATTAGGGGTTTAGGGTTTTAGGCTTTAGATTCAGGAGGGGGTTTGTTACATTTTGGTTTGCATTTTTCGCACCGGTATGACAGGAGCCTATAGGTTCAATATGAGGGTTTGCTTCCCTTGAAGACCTCTATATGTTCAGCTTATTGTCATCGTTATTACAACTGAGTGTTGTTAAAGAGGATCTTCTTTCCTACTACCATTAGTACGATCATAGTGACTAGTCCTATCGTTGCTGTCAGTGTGATTATGGCAGTTTCCTTGTACTGGTAGATGTGGCTACGTAGCTGACAGGTTGCAAGGTCTTGTGCTCGATGACATACTGCAAGATCATACTTGCTTTGCGATGCAGCTTCGACATGCGTTCAGGTCAGCTCTTTTGTGTGGGACAATGGCTGCAGCGGCGTTTGCCCCAGCATGTGCTCTTGTTGAGCATTGTTTACAGGCATGGTTCGTTTTTGTGCTTTCAAGCTGTGTCACTGTAGAAGCGGTAAATCAGCGATCATGCCACAATTACGCTTACACATGGCCAGGTGGGGGGTCATGTCGTTGATTGCAGGCCATCGAATCCGCGGACCCTTCCTCAATGGCTCACGGTCTTCGACCAGTTTGTAGAAAACTTTCAGAGCACCTAGACTGTGATCTCGATTGGCCCTGCACCCCCATTCCTTTGTCCACGAACGCTCAAGCCCCGTGAAACCGCAAGCTCTAAGTCCTCAGCAGTTTGAACCCACGAAGCCCGCCTTGACGAACAACTGAACACCTAAGCCCAATTTTCCAAACCCAGGCTGCGCTCCCTCCAGATGCATGACAGGCAGTGAAAGTGGGGACCTTGGGTCAACGAGAGCCAGAAGGGGTCTTAGTACGGGGTTCACATAACAGCCCTAAAGCCCCAATCCCTAAACCAAGCTCTATAATCAACAGCATATTCATATCGGGGAATCCCAAACCTAACTTCCAATCATTGGAAGTTTCGGCCCTGAAGCCCTTGAAAATTGCGCTTTTCTGGGATCTCATCACCCCTCGATAGCTCGGGGCGCTTTGAGGGTTTTGGGGGCTTTCGAGGTCTTGGGGTGAGGGTCCCACCCTCAACACTGAGGCGTGGTAGGTAGTTTGGGCCCTGTTTTGAACCCCTGTGGCTGAAGAGTAAAGTTGAAGGCTACTTGGGTAGCTGCACCTTTTCTCCTTGTAGTCTACACTAGTCACGTGAGCTCTCCGTGCAACAAAGTAGCTGTGGTGTCAACCCATAAAACCAAATGTATGGTCAAAGTGTGGTAGCACTCCCCAAGTATAGCGTCGCTGCACGAATCCTGAGTACTGGTAGCTACGAACAGTATGGCCTCTGGTCCTAGGCCCATTACATGGACGGGTAGGTCACCAAATATCCGGAGTGTAATCGCAGGGTGTTGGGGTTTCACGACTGAGATTCGCAATCCAGAGCCGAGCAACCGGTTCTCAGGGTTGTTGGTGCAGTGCAGTCGTACACTATTCTGAAACCCCAAACCCTATAACACCCTAAACATATACACCAATACTCTAAACGCAGATCCACGATCGATTCAGTTTGTTCCGGAAGTGCTGGGCGCTTGGAAGTGTGAGCTCTTGCTCAGGTTACAATGTGGAGGAGAAGAGGGGGGAGGGAGGTCAGGGTTTAGGGCTATTTAGGGTCAAGCATTTCCGGCATTAAAGGGGTTTAAGAGTTTTCGGGTTTGGGTTTAGGGTTTGGGGTTGGGTTTCATGAGGATAAGGTTAAAGTTCAACGATTGTTCAACAATTTTCAGTTTTCGACCGAATGAGGGTTCACGGTTTGCGATTTATCGGACCCCAAACTCCCCCAAACCCCGATGCAATAAAACCTGAGACAACCGGCGGTGGGAGATTGGTTTAGTCACCCGGCAAAGGTTTACTCTCTCTCTCTCTCTCTCTCTCTCTCTCTCGCTCCATGTTCTACGTGCATGGGGTTTATGTGCACAAAAACAGTGCATGATACACGATGCTCCTTGTCCTGCAGCGTATCAACCGAGCAGTTTACCCCAAGCCCTGACGATGTTCGGGTGCGGTGCAAGGCTTTAGGCAGGCCAGGAACTTACCTTTGGTTAGTAGGGAATGGAAGAATGGTAGTAATAGTAGTTATAATTGTACCCCATTCCTCCATTCCCTACTAAGCAAAGGTAAGGGAAAGGAAAGCTCGCTCAAAACCTGACTATCGCCACAAGGTTCCAGCCCTCACAGCCCCCGAGCCATTGGGCTTCAGAGGATCTTGCCTACTAATATTTTTCAAAGGCTTTCCAAGGCACCTCCTAGAAGGCCATGCAGTTCACTCCCCAACACCCAAGCTCACAGGGTTTCGGACTTCGGGCAGGACTTCACTGCTGGAGCATCTATGTTCAAGCAAGGCCAGAAACACGTGGTTGGTTCTCTAAATTAGGGTCTCTTGTATTTACGGCATTTATGAGGGTGCCATACTGTTTGGAGGACCTCAAAAGGGACACTAATTCAGAGAACTACCCGCATAGCAATAGTCGCAAGAGAAGCGCAGTCAGTATCCTCGTAGAAGTAATGGTGGTTGGATTGGCAGGGTTGCGGATTTTGAGGTATTGATGGTCGCTTGCTGGAGTGTAGGTACGAGTGCGACCTGTTCACCTGGTACGATTGTTCTAACTACCACTACAAACCATTACTACTGCTGCTACTACTATTACGACGAAGACGACGACGACGACCCGCCAACACCACCACCACCGCCGCCACCACCACCGCCACTACCACCACCACCACCACCACCACCACCACCACCACCACCACCACCACCGCGACGACCACCACCACGACGACAACGACAACGACAAGTACCTTTAGTATCTACTGCTGCGAGGACGGCCGGGAGCACGCCATTTTGACCCGACCAAAACCGTTATAGCAACAGTCATATCCTTAGTAGCTGAGTAGGTAGCCTCTAATTTGGGGGTTATAGGTTCCTACCACAAATCAATAGGTTATCCTTGTTGGGCTATGGTACTCAGCCCCTAAGCATCAACAAGATAAGTCATAGAATTTCATAGAATCTGATTTCTGCTCATGGTGGTGCGGTTGCTGCGAGGGTATGACTTTCGATGGTCATCGAAATGGTATCTGCAAGCAACAGAAGCATACTAGTCATCTCTCCCAGCATAACACTTGCAGGGACTACACAATTGTACATAGGGGGCAACAGCAAAATCCACAGAGAACAATCAGTCATGCAATGATGATTCCTTGATGCTAGGACAGTAAGCGAAAGCAATGCGCCACCGGCAAACGCGGCGCCAGCAGCATCAACAGCAGCAGCGTGAAGAAGACACCGAAGAATGCTGCGGAGACTGTAAGAAACAACGACAGTGGTAGTGGTTCGGTAGTATTGTCATAGAAAGTGCTGGCAACTACATCATGGTTCGATGGAGAGACGTCTAGACAGGAGAGTCAGACCCAAAACATATCTGCCTCAGAGCTTTAGCCCGCAACTTTCATTGACTTCAAGAAGGTTTAGGGTTTAGTTTTTAGGGTTTAAGGTTTGTTTGCTTAAACGTCTGATAGGCTAGTATACTATCCGCCCTCTTGTCTTAAGTCCCTACATCCCACTTGAGAGACCATCTCGAATCATTCAGGGCGCTGGCTTAGGCCCCGGGGCCCCCTCCATCTTTTCTGCTGGTAGTTTTCGGGTCTCTTCGGCGTCCTGCACCCCTTGGCAGAACAGGCAGCCAAAGCCCGCACCATGCCGCAAACTTGCCCTAAACTCTTCAATCTCAATTTTTGACTTCTAAACCCCAAAACCCTAAACCCCTAAACCCCAAACCCCTAAACCCTAAACCCCTAAACCCCTAAACCCTAAACCCCTAAACCCCTAAACCCCTAAACCCTAAACCCCTAAACCCTAAACCCCTAAACCCCAAACCCCTAAACCCTAAACCCCTAAACCCCTAAACCCTAAACCCCTAAACCCTAAACCCCTAAACCCTAAACCCCTAAACCCTAAACCCCTAAACCCTAAACATTCTACACTCAACACCCCAGCAAAGCTGAAGCTCGAAACTCCCCGCCTCTCAGCTCTAAGGCCCTAAGCTTAGATGGCGGATGGGAGAACTTTAAACTTTTGGCCTTATATATATATATATGGCCTCATATACGAGCTCTATCCTAGAAAGTTTGAACTTTTTGGGGCCCGGTTGTTGAAGAAGAGAGTAAACCCACCACCTGAACCACTGAAAAGACGGCAGGTACCTGCGGCAAGGCCAGGGACGACTGCATAGGCCCGGACTGGTGGGGTATCTTTTCCAGAATTTTCCAGAAGCACACCACGGTTTAGGGTTTAAGGGCTTAGGGTTTAGGGTTTAGGGTGGAGGATTCTTGGGTGTCAAGCTGGGGTCTGGGATTTGGGATTCTGAAGGGTCCATGCATTCTGGCAGGGTGAAGGTATATTTCGCTGGACCTAGAAACGAAAAGCATTTGGTTTAGGTTTAGGTTTCAGGGAGAACCTTGAGACCAACGGAACCCTGAGCCCAAAGCCATGAGCCTACATAGTCATAAATCCACGCTTTGACCTTTTCAGTTCAGCTTCGCCAGCTCTAGGCCCCATCATTTGCGACCCACAATCTGTAAAGTCCTGAAGTTGTACCTTAAACTACTATTTGCTTAAGAACCCCCAAAAAATAAAAAATATATTCCTTATGGGGGTAATATAGGGATTATTATTTTTATTTTTTGGGGGGTTCTTAAGCAAATAGTAGTAAACTAGGCTACAATAAAGGGTAGTTGGGGGGTCGAGGAGCTAGGGAGGGTCATTTCCCAGTTCATGCCACGCCCACACCCTGACCCCCACCCTACGCTTTTGCCCCATTTCTACAGTAAGACAGTATCCTAAATCCCACCTTATACCACAAACCCTAAACCCCTAAACCATATCCACCTAACAATCCTTAACCTTATCCATTCTATGACAAATATCCTAACCTGAACTGGGTTGTGTCCCCCTGATAGGAAACTACGCCCAACCTATAGCCGCCCCCATACGCTTTCACCACACCCCAAAACCCAACGCAAATCCACCGAACAGTCCTTGCTCTCATCAAACACATCCCATTAAACCAGAGCCACAACATAAATCCTTACCCTAAGCCACAACGAAACCACAAACGGGAATGCGCTAAAGCTGCATCCCAGACCCGCCTAAACCTTCATCCCAAGACCACCCTAAACCTTCATCCTAAGACCACCACCCCTACTCAACCAAAGCCCCCGCCCAAATCTCCAACACCTCCCAAAACATAAACCTTGAACCAAAACAGTGTTTCTATGCCAAAAGTCTTCACAAATCACGAAGCTCACAAGTTCTCACCTAGCCAACTACACATGGCCCCAAAACCCCACATGCCATGCCCGAGACTTCTCAACGACCTGAAGCAGACAAAAATGCCGCAAGAGCAAAGGTGGACCATTCTAAAAGGCTTACATGCTGGCGGCTACACGCCAGTTCTTCTTCCTCAAGGTGTGTTAGGTTCCGATTTAAGATCGTCAAACCCCTTGAGGCATGGCGCTGCGGCTTGAAGTGTCGACGATGGCTGGCTCGACCGTCAACATCTGTGCTGGACGTGCTGCTTGCCGCGGAAAATGCCATGCAGCGTATGATACTGCAGCTTGTGACCACAGATGCACACGTTCTCAGCGAGGACCAGGCAGTTCTAACCTCAAACCTGCAGGATGGAGACATGCTGCAAGCAGTGCTGATGTCAGACGACGACAAGATCCGTACTATCGCGGAAAAGCATGGTGAGTTCCTCTCTGCAGATCTATCGGGAGAATACGTCATCATCCGCGTCCTCACCAATGCATGGCTTGTGGGTGATAAGAGGATGGGCGATGAGAGGACTGAGACATGCCTCTACCATTTACCGTCTTTGAGGACTCGGAGTGGGGCTGAACCTCTATACGTGGCAGAGCTGTCTTACATCGGAAGGATCTTGTCTGGGCATCAGCTTTCTTTTGTGGGAGATCAGGAAATTCAGCTGGGATTTGTTCACGCCTCACAGATGGCCGGCGACGAGTATGATGACTTCGACCCTAGTCGAGACTGCGACACTGTCTGGCAAACTGCACTTGACGATTTGCAGAGCCCATCGAATCGGAACACTCTCAATATTCTCAATCAGATAGAGCAGGATCGTTTCATTCAATTCAGACGAGAGATATTAGGCCACAGGACTTGGGATTCCGATGATTCGTGAACAAGACAGCAAGCTCTGTGCACAGGCATCTTGACACTTGTTTACTTTGCGCGGCTGAGTCACCCGAAGATAGCTGCGAGTGCTGCGCGCTCGTGATCGTAGCTTGTGGTGAGCAAAGCAAAGCCGTTTCACCTTCGTGGCACTTCCGTTCCGGGGGGATGCCAATCCCAACGCTCCTGCCGGACTCGAAAAGACTGTGAGGTAATCCGTGTCACTCAGAGCGTAAATTTTGGGACGTAGGACTCGTCAAGCCAAGAGTTGTTCTTGTTGCCGCGATATATGTTATCAGTATTCAAGCACTGTGTTTTCCAGCGTTTGGCTTTGAATCTATTTCTGGATTAATCGTCTATGTAGGTTTAGACCAGGTGAATCTAGGTGACTAGGTGCTACAATTGGCTCATGCGATGCCCCATTGCCTTATCTTCTCGGGCTTCTCATGAGACACATGCCTACAAAGAGAAACGACAATGCTTCATGCCATGCATAGTGCAGAAATGAACACATTAAGTCGCGAATACACCTTGAAAGTCCGATTTTTCATTAGGCAGGGATGATAGGAACCCACGCGTCGAGAGGACCAAGACCGGGGCCTTGGTTCCCTTGTTAAGGTTGCGGTTTTGGGGCTCAGGGTTTTAAATGATACTACATTAATTCCATATTAAATGATACTATATTAATACTAGATTAACATAGCAATCCAACAAGAATACTACCATACTACTACTGTAATACAATAATAATACTACCATACTACTACTATAATACGAGTTTAGTGTTTAGATTTCGGGTTGCTAACAGCATCCCAGAACTGGGCTCGGACAAGGTATAGTTTTATTATTACAGTGTTATTTTGGTAGTATGATTACAGAAATTATAGTATGAGTATTATAGTATTATTGTTATTATAGTATGATTATTTTTATAGCATTAATATTCTAGTGGGGAATTCCGACTGTTTAGCAGTTCAAAGCCAAAGCACTACGATGGCCTCCGTGTGTGTGTGTGTTTGTGTTTACAGTCGGCGTTGAAGTTTGGGGTGTAGGTATTTGGGGTTTGGAAGTTTGGGGCTGAGTCGAAGTCAGTTCTTCCTATCATGGAGACACAGAAGCCTCATTGCGTGGATGCTGCAGAAGTGTGTGTTTTGGTTATAGTTTTAGAAACCCTAGCCCTGAAACCGTGATTCGTTTGGCTCAAACATACAATAAATATAATATACAAACATATTAGATCTATGGTTTTTTACACCTTTAACGACTCGTGGCGCAAACAACCTTTTTTGTTTTATCATCGTTCACAAAATCTAAATAGTAGTAACTTTGACCTAATTTATTATCTATTCGTTTCACTTTCTGGTGGGTTCTCACCCAATGGCTCGTCCGTTCTTTTTCACTAATGCCTTTTCTACGCATTATTTTAACACTATCGCCTACTTCTATTGCGGGGTATGTTCTCTTACGCTTTGCCTGGACCCAAGCGCAACCCCCCAAACGCATGCAACCGAAAGCACGATCAAAGGCAACCAGAATGCCTGTGACTTGAAGATCTTCGTGACCTGGGTTCGCCGCCCAGGTCGTGTAACTAGAGGATCGCAGGACTTAGTCCTGGGTTTGGAGTACCATACTTGAATATTTTTTTTGGTACCTGCTCCTTAAAGGAACCATTATAAGATAAAAGTCTGTACTTTTTTCTCCCTGGTTACTTCAAAGTCCAGTAGTGGGCAAGACTAAGCTTATGAATTGGGGCTACAGGTAATTATATCGATAGAGAGCTTAACTTACCAAGTTACTATTACTAGTTGCATGATCCTCTGGTAGGGCAGCAGTGAAGACCCGTTGCCTTGGGCCCAGACCTTCCAAGAATTGAGGTATGTACCTTGGATCATAATGGGGATCCGACTGTAATTTAATAGGTATACTCCTGAATTAATGGGTTTTGGAATGTCTGGTGCCCTAAACACTAAGCCCTGCGGGTTTCGCGAGCCATAGGGTTAGCACATGGTAGTCTTCAGTTCCGAATCCACATGCGGCCATGACCAGTCCCCCAAGCTGGAGAGAACCAGACACAGCCAGCCCTTGATTCCCGATGGCCAAAATTTAGGGGTCAGAGTTTAGCCCGGAGTTTAGGGTGTAGGAATTTTGCAGCTCCAGAACCTGCAAAAGCTCGCGTAAAGCCTTGCGAGCCCCTCCACAACCCTTAAACCCTGAACCTTCAACCCCCACAGTAGAAGCCAAAAAGTTGGAAACCCAATAGCCTCAATCCTTAAGAGTAATGTATAGGGAATCCCAGCACTATTTGGCCTTAATCCGGTTTCCAACTTTATGGGGATTACTGTAAGCCCTTAAACCCTACCCTTGGCCCCTTAAACCCTACACCCTTAAACCCCTAAACCCTTAAACTCCAAAACCCCTAAACCCCTAAACCCTAAAACCCGTAACAACCCCTTAAAGCCTTAAACTCCTAAACCTTATAAACCCTTAAACCGCCTGAACCCCTAAAACCCTGAGAACCGAGGCAGGCACTGACAAGCAGGGGAGGAACCTTGTCTCGGCCGGGACGCGACTGTCGAAGCTGGCAGGTGCCCTGCGAGGGCTGTAGAGAGCGCCCTTTTTTGCGGTGGTCTTAGGATTTAGGGGTTTAGGGAAGTTTAGGGTTTGGGGGTTTAGGGTTTAGGGGTGTAGGGTGTAGTGGTTTATAGGGGTTTGGGGTTTAGGGGTTTAGGGTTTACGGCTTTAGGGCTTTAGGCTTCGAAGAGCTTGAGGGCAAGGTTCTGTTCCGGAAGTACTTGAGGGCTTGTGTGTTGGGGAGTGTTGCACTTCTGCTAAACTGAGCCGAGTATCATAATTGCAGTTCGTATTGTCGCTGGAACATGGCAATGATGATTTTTGTGAGGTGATAGTCAGTATGGTTGTCATTTGCCACTTGCTTCAAAGAACTCTTACCCCTGAACCCTAAACCCTAAACCCTTACCCCTGAACCCTAAACCCTTACTCCTGAACCCTAAACCTTTAATAACATTGTCACAAGAAGAAGCCTTGAAGGAAAGCTTAAAAGGATCCTCTAAAGGCATCTCGAAGAGGCGGCCTCAAAGGAAGCCCTTAAAGGAATCCCTTAAAGGAGCCCAACTTGGAGGATCATGGGACTTAGTAAGTGGGGTTGTACGTACCCTAAGTGAGGTTATAAGTAGCTATAAGTAATTACTTTAGTTATAGCCCTAGTTACTACGTCCCATGATCCTTTAAGTAAAGGAAAGCTCCTAAGCCCTAAGCTGGCCGTCGGCGAGGGCCGACGCTGCGGTCGCTCTTCGAGACGATGCAGGAGGGCTACAACATGGCCTCTCAGGCCAGGGGTTTGAGGATTTGGGGTTTAGAAAGTTAGGGGTTTTGCTTTAGTAGGGTTTATATAGGGGTTAAGGGTTAGGGGGTTTAGGGTTTATAGGGTTTGGGGTTTCGGGGTAGGGTTATAAAGTTAAAGTGAGCTGCATGAGCGAATCCAATTCTAGCAGGCCCAATCCTGGGTTGAGTGGGGCTTTGCGGTTTTTGGGGTCAGGGTTAGGGGTTGGGGCTGTAGGATTTCGGGTTGAGGCTTCAGAGTTGACTAGGGCCGTGCAGGAACCCGCACGGCGTAAGCGAAGGCATCTTGCGACAAGGTCGCTCCGAGTGCATCGTGCGAGCTGCCATGGCCTGGTGCATCCCACCGCATGCCGTCTAAGCAAACCCCCAGACACCCCTATCTTATGGTGCCCTTATAGTAACCGTTTTAAGGATCCCTTTAAAGGAACCCTATTCTAACTATTAAGGCCCAGGACGAGGCAGTATCATGCAAAGGGGTGTGGTTTTGGGATGGAAGGGCTCGGGGCTTTGAGTCCAGGGTTTACTTGACCGTAAAGCCCGAAGCAGTCTGAATAGCGCCCAGGGGCGTGACGTTAAGGTGTCTGAATGTAGCAGCTGAGTTAGAAAGAAAGGCGCCCATGATCCAAGTATGGTTGCAAGAGTGCATTCTGCAGTGGCTTATGTAGGCTTCTCAAACGGCTTCCACACAATGGTAGTCGCCATCGTTGTGGTGGTAGTCACGGTACTGTCGGTGCTGTCGTGGTGGTGGTAGTGGTGGAGGCGGCGGGATGGCAGCGTCGTCGCGTCTTGGTGTTTGTCGTGTTCGTCGCCGTCATCGTTGTAGCTGTAGCCGTACACCGTAGCAGTAGCAGTGCTGTGCGGTTGGAGTAGGCGTGGTTGTGGACGTGGTTTTGGCTGTGTTTTTTTGCTATGGTTGTGGCTGTGGTTGTAGTTGTGTTTATTGCCGTGGTTTGTGCTTGCGTGGCGGAGGTGTTGTCGTCATCAGTATCGCCATCGGTGCTGCTGCTACTGCTGCTGCTGCTGCTCATGGTGCTAATGTTATTGTCGTTGCATGTCGTTGCCACTGTCGTCGTCGTGCTGTTGCAGAGGGGCGTGGTACTCCCTGCTGGAACAACTTCGTCCTGAGGTACTGCATCATCCGTATGTCGTTGTGCTTGCAGCAACTGTTTTCACGTCACGGCTATTGTCTACCTATTTTCTGTCGTATGGAAGCTATTGCAGGCCGTCACGTCGCGCTGATGGAGACCGCCAAGTGAGTGCAGCCGCCCATGAGGGATGTCCGACCAGAACGACGAAATCGTTATCTCTTAGGGTACTTAGAAATAGTTTTAATGTTTGGTTATTATAATCCTTAAGAAACAGCTTAAGTTATAATTTTTGCTAGGGTTCTAAGTTCAGTATAGATCTTAGCAGGATCAACAGAAAGTCACTAGATTGACTAGCATGAATGTGCAGTGAGGTGTTGCCATGGCACGCCTGGGAGCCAAATAATGCTTGTTGCCCAAGCACGCAAACCACTTGTGTGCATGCTACTTAAAGGGTCATGGGACTTAGTAAGTAGGGTTATAAGTAGGTTATAATTAGGACAACCCCACTTAGGGGACTTATACCACCAGTTATAACCTACTTACTAAGTCCCATGATCCTCTAAGGAGGTCCACAGATGTGCTGGCTTTGTACAGGACAGCCAGCAGAGTCATCCCGGACGAGATGACCGAAAGCAACGGGCAAAAACGAAAGGGACTGCAGCGAGCCCACAATGTTAGCCCGAAGCACAGGGTGTCAGCCTTCTATGTGTCCGCACTCGAGTCACTAGAGTTCATTAATCCAGCATCGAACCGCATGGGGTTGACACGGCATTTAATGTAGAAGTATGTTCTATTCCGAACAGTTCTTCAGTTGATGATATAAATCCTGCACTACCCATAATAAGGAATATACCATTAATGCCCATGATTTAGGAGTCCTTAAGGTAATGCAGGATTTATGTCATCAACCGTTCTTCTTGCAAGGACCACCCAGGAGCCACATGGGTGCTCCATCAAAATAATGGTCCTGTTTTGGGTACCCTAAACAAATAGTGGCATACTATGATAGGGACCCAAAAAAGGGGACCATAATTTTGACCACCACCCACATAGGTTTCCACACTTTACAATCACTCCCTCTCCCGAAACCCGCGAACCTTGAAGCTCCAAATCTGCAAACCTAGACATCGAAGGCCTCAAAAGGTGGGATGAAGGTAGGACTAAGGATCCCTTCTATAAGGACTCCTATTTGGGAATATCCCACCTACCTTCATCCCACCTTTTTGAGGCCTCCGAAGACAGGACCTTTTATGGGCCCTTTAATAGAGCCCCTACGGCCCTGAATAGTGGTTATGTGAGGTATATTAGAGGGTAGTTGGGGGGTCTAGGTAGACCGGACCCAAACCCCCATAAGTAGGTGAAAGAATGGCCCCAAACCTATAAAGGCTCATTATTCTACATACTTTGGGGGTCCACGGAGAGGGTTGTATCAGGTCTGCATGGGGGTTTAGGGGTTTAAGGGGTTTGGGTTGCATTAGCCTCACCGAAACCATTCAAAACATGCTCGAAAATGCTCTAGGGCTTGGTTGCACGCCTATATAAGGCCCTTATATTGCCTTCTAAGCGATCCACCGAAAGCAAAGTAACACTGTGGAAAGCTTCAGAGATCACTGACAAAGACCCCGGCGATTTGTTGGCCAGGCGCGCATTGGCCGCCAAAGAGGAGGGCAAGTGGGGCGACAAGGGATCGAAGGCCTCGATCCGAAACAACGTTTCGCTTTGTCGACAGGGGGCTGGGCGGCTACAGCTGCAAGGGGTTCTATATGGGTTGAAGATTGATTACGATGACGAGGATGATGATAGTCGTATATATTTCGGTGATGCTGATGCTGATGATGAGGATGAGAGTGAAGATGAAGATGACCCCCCCCCCATGTTTCTTGCTCAGTGCATGACCGAAGACGGTTGGGGTGGCAACTTGGTATTCGTTGCTGTCACGGAGATCTTACGGCTTGGAGCGTTCGGGCTCGAAGCTCGGTTTTTGGGTTTTCGTTGAGGCGAAGGTTTACCCTGTGCCTTCGGGGGTCTTATCATGGAGTCCTTAAGGGGTCTAGGGCCCTAACTATGAGGTCCTTGGAGGGATAGGGTTAGGACTCGGGGTTTGAGCGGCTTTGGAGGGGTTGGTTTTGGAAGTGGCGCAAGGTATGCCCTGCCCTTCGCAGGTGTCATGACAGCGTCCAACAGGGACCTCGCGACACGTGTGCACAAGCAGCGCGATCGACAAATGGAGTGCTGCTGATGCGTTCAGTCCCGACATTCAACTATGAGTGGGGCTTATAAGTAGGGTAAGTACACATAAAGCCATGTTATGGGGCTTCTCACCCAGCTTGTGACTACCCTTGAACCTCCAAGCTGTTCCGAAATCCAACCCTAAGCCCACAGCCACTGTTCCGTCCGGAAACCCGAACTTAGTCAGCTCAGCCACAATCGAGCCCCAAGCCCCATCCTTCGGTTGATGATATAAATCCTGCATTACCTTAAGGACCCTAAACTATGGGAATTATGGTATAGTCCTTACTATGGGTAATGCAGGATTTCTATCATCAACCGTTCCGCAACCCTTTGCACCGTGAGCCCGAAAAAGTCGAACCAACACCGGCCAGGAGAGGGCAAGACCTACTTGGGTGGTTGTCAACATGATGGTCCCTGTTAGGGTCCCTATTGTAGTACGGCACCTAATATTTAGGGTACCCAAAAAGGGACCCTAATTCCGACAGCTACCCACTTGCTGGAAAGCTCCGAACCTACCCATAAAACTCTGCCCTCGACTTACAGCCTTTGGGGCGGGGGGATCCATAAGAATAAGACAAGAAAAAGAATCGTGGTAACAATGGCAGTACTGACATTTATTTATGACAACAACAGTGACAATAATAATGATACCCTAAGGGTCCAAGGACTCACACAGTATATACATTGGCGCCTATATCGGTACATTGGGCCCAAAAGTATGTGCTATATGGGTACATGGACCCTCTAGGGAGAATGCTGTCAAGAATGTCTTGACATCCATCAGCTTTGCATTTCTTCTTCTTCTGGGTTCGCTAAACCCTTAACCCTCAACCCTAAACCCCTAAACCCCTAAACCCTAAACCCCTAAACCCTAAACCCTCTTTGCATTTAGGTTGCGGGCTCTAGCGACTCCCAGGTTTCCGCGCGGCATTTCGGATCCCAAAACTTGCCTTGCGTCCTCAAGCAGGGTTGAGGGCTTTGTTTGAGGGTTTAGGGAATGGGGCTTAGGGTTTCAGGGCTTAGGGCTCAGGGTTTCAGGGCTTAGGGCTTTGTTTTAGGGTTTAGGGAATGGGGCTTAGGGTTTCAGGGCTTAGGGTTTCAGGGCTTAGGGCTTTGTTTTAGGGTTTAGGGAATGGGGCTCAGGGTTTTAGGGCTCAGGGTTTCAGGGCTTAGGGCTTTGTTTTAGGGTTTAGGGAATGGGGCTTAGGGTTTCAGGGCTTAGGGTTTCAGGGCTTAGGGCTTTGTTTTAGGGTTTAGGGAATGGGGCTCAGGGTTTTAGGGCTCAGGGTTTCAGGGCTTAGGGCTTTGTTTTAGGGTTTAGGGAATGGGGCTTAGGGTTTCAGGGCTTAGGGTTTCAGGGCTTAGGGCTTTGTTTTAGGGTTTAGGGAATGGGGCTCAGGGTTTTAGGGCTCAGGGTTTCAGGGCTTAGGGCTTTGTTTTAGGGTTTAGGGAATGGGGCTTAGGGTTTCAGGGTTAGGGTTTCAGGGCTTAGGGCTTTGTTTTAGGGTTAAGGGAATGGGGCCTAGGGTAGGGCTTCGGAGATGAGGATTTCGGGTTTAGGGTTTAGGGCTTTGGCCTTGGCAGCAAGTCTGCTGTCTTAAATTCCAGAGATTCCACAATCTTTTGATGAAGGGCCCCTTAAAGCTGCTACTTGAGCCGTCTGATGCCTTCTCGGGCTGCAGCTGTTTCTGACCAGCAGACTCTCGCAGACCCCCACTGTACACGAAGTGATGCTTCGAAGCCTTCAGCCCAAAACCCCAACTCCCAAACCCCATGTGCTCTGTCTAAGCACAGATATAACCCTCATGCACCTCAGCAGGCGCCTTAGCCACAAAACTCGACACCAGCTGAGACAAAGACAGCGTAGCAGTGTTCTCATGCAGGAAGTTGCAGGTGAGGCCGTTAGGGACTACCCTTGCAGGCCTTGAGGCAGCGTCCATACCATGTCGGGCTTTTTGATTAAAGGTTCAGCCTCGGGGGTGAGGACGCCGGAGCTTCCTACGCCATGTATGGAGGCTATGGAGGCGGCATGTACGGCGGCCGTTCCATGTACGGCGGCTACGGGGGTATGGGCAGCATGTATGGTGGCTACGGGGGCATGTACGGCGGTGGGATGTATGGAGGAATGATGGGCGGCATGGGTATGGGCATGGGAAGCAGCTATGCAGAGAGCATGTTTCGCATGACCCAAATGCTGGAGATGAACAGCATCATGCTCGAACAGCTTCAGGAGCATGTGACAACGACTTTCTACCGGCTTCGAGATGTTGGCGAGTGGGTCTGGGCCTTGAAAAGCACTGCGACCAAGTCGAAGGCCTTGCCGCCGCCCGACCCCTCGAAACCGAAATCCACGGCAACGCCATCCGACGCCGAAGACGCTTCTGAGACGCCTATGACCCCGTTCAACTCCAAGGAGGACAAGGACAAGGAGATCGACAGGATAAAACGCAGGTTTAAGGCTCTGCTGGTCCTTTTCGGCTTTTTCCTCTTCTTGGTCTTCCGTGACAACAGGCGGCAACAGAGGCGACTGCTGCAGCAAAGGAACTGGTCGCAGGGTGCCGATGGAGCCATGAATGCAGCTGCGACTGTCGCCACGGCTTTGCCGGTTGCTTTCGGCTGAAAAGGCACCGAAGCACAGGCCTTACCCTAAGTCCTTAATCCCACATGCTAGGCACATAAGCACAAGCATTTTGGAGGGATATCGCTACCTTGTTGGGCTTCATCTGGGATGCTACGTACGACCATTGTTTCTTGACCGCGCAGCAGAGGGGAAACTTACATCCAGGTCCCCAAGCCTTGGTCCTGAGCCTCAAAATCCTAAAACTTACCCTACCCTAAGGCTCCATAGTAGCTCCTTTTTCGGGTTCATATTTAGAATTCTATAAGGCAATCCCCCAAAAGGAACTACTATGGAGCCTA